TGTTTTTTTTAAATTGTCAACGTCAGTTGCATGTAATACGCAGGTCCAGAATAAAGCCTGTTTTTCTGTGGCTATTATAGTAAAGGTCAAAGGCTGAGATGTGACGCATTAGTTGTGCACGGTCCTGATGTCTAAATGGCACACTCATTATGATGGACTTCTACCACCGCATGTGATGGAGCAGTATAACGCTGGTCCGCTTCCTGCTGTATTATCCGTCTCACTTTAGTGACTCGTACATTTTGTTCCTGACACGCTGCGTATGTTTTTAATCCCAGAGGCTTCTGGGAAACAGTACATCACCTAATCAGCAGTAAAATGTCTGGCAATATTTCTTGACAGCATGCACAATGTTCACACCAGCTAATGTCCTTTTATATTTCACCTCCATTTTTCAGAGATATTTCAGATTGATATCACAATGAGTGGATTAAAATAAACTGTGGTACAGATTGACTTTTATTTTGCTAATATTTATTGAACAGAGCACAGGGAATGTTCACATAAAATTGAAGATTCAGGCATCATTTACTTAGCAAGCCTGCATTCATTGAAAAAAAAAATGACTTTAAAGACTTAAATTAAAATTTCTATCTCAAAGAAATGCTGTTCTTTTGAATTTTCTATTCATCAAATAATCCTGAAAAAAATTTATTACCCTTTTTCCACAAAAATATTAAGCAGCACAATTATTTTCAAACATTTATAATAATTAGAAATGTTTCTTGAGCAGTAAATCTGCAAATTAGAATGATTTCTGAAGGATCATGATACACTGAAGACTGGAGTAATGGCTGCTGAAAATTCAGCTTATCCATCAAAAGAATAAACGACATTAAAAAATATATTTGAAAGCAGTTATTTAAAATCATCAATAATATTTCACAATACTACTGTTTTTACTTTATTTTTGATCAAATAAATGCAGCCTTGGTGAGCATAAGAGACTTCTCAAACATAAAAAAGCATACAGAATTAATTACTATGATCTCCTCTCTCAGGGAAACTGGCACTTTTATGTTCTGTTATATCTACTGTAGTTGTGATTCCCATTATTTATTTAGACTGAGGTTCTTAGATCAGTGTCGGGCACATCACAGAAGCCTTTAATGAAGACTATCCAGTAACTGGCTTATTATTCTTACGCCCTGACAGTCTGTAGTCCATTGTGGTGATGCAGACTACCTGTGGTGTCAGTGTATCGATGTGCAGAGCGATTATGAGTCTGTTTGTGAGGTGGCTGGACTGTGTTTCTAATTGAATGCTGCTGTTTGTTCTCTCTCCCGCTGAATGGTTTTTTGTGTGAGTGGAATGCCAGATTTAGGACCGCTGTGGTCGGCTGATGAGAAAGTGTTTGTGGTCGTGAGAAGGCAAGATAGATAGAGACATAACATATGATTGATGCATTGCATTAACCACCGGTCGGCTGTTTTCCAGGATTCCATTATCTTAAAACCTTTACGTGCAACAACAGGAAATAAAATGTTTGTGTGAACAGTGTTCTTGGTTGTTTTCCAGTGATCTCCAGTGATGCACTGTTTTGTCCCTCAGGTTGGATTGCTATCTTGGGGGCTCTGTGGTTACTGGTGCTGGCTGACATTCAGGACTTCGAGATCATACTTCACAGAGTGGAATGGGCCACCCTGTTGTTCTTCGCTGCTCTGTTTGTGCTTATGGAGGTATGCTAATGTTCAACAAACGCCCACATATCCCAATGTTCTGTCATCTGTTACATCACAGTGATGGCTAGTCATTGTTTACCAAGATCAGTTTAGCTGGTCACTGGCCCATGTCGTGTTTTGGATGCTGGTTTGGAGCCTGTCGTGCCTCAAATGCGCCCCCTCATTTTTTTTAATGCAACCAAAAAAATGCAATAATAAAAATAAAATTAAATTCCCCTAAAATATGATTAAAAAAGATTTATATTATATTAGACTTGTATTAACTCTAAATTAATTTGCACAATTATTGTAAGAAAATGTGTTCTACTTCTTTTATTAAATCTATTTCACACACACACACGTACATATATGTTTGTGTCTGTTTTTATATTTACACTCTCTTTTTTTAAGTGTGAAAAAGGAAAAAATGCATTGTTATAGAAGACAAAATATTGAAAGATATATAATAGTGTATTATTATGTATATGCGTAATACATTTTTATTATATGTCTATATCTATTTTTGTTATTTTCCCTCCCTAAATTTAATGTCTTTTTTTTATTTACAAACCTGAGGGAAAAAATGCATTGTTATAGAGAACAAAATATTTTAAATATAAAATATAAGTGCATTGTCAAGAAAGATAAAATATTAATAGTGTATATAATAGTGCATTGTTATGTTTATTTTTTTATCTGTCACATTCATAAATAAAGAAGGAGAAAGAGGGTGACTTAGAGATTGGGAGTCTAAGTAAGAAGAAAGTGAGCATGTCAGCAGCTGAAATGCTAGGTTTGCTGTTTGTGTTGGTTTAATCCTTTGTTTTGTTAGGAGGACAGTATTCACACAGGGAAGCCCACCCCTTGGGCCCAGTGGGGAGCATAACGCTGCTCCAAGATAAACTGTTTGCCCTCTATAGCAGAGCCAACATTCACAATCACTCATACCAGTGTGCACCGCAAGCGGCGAGACAAAAATAGATGAATACTGATATTCCACTTCCGTTGTTTAAAATATGGAAAATCAGAGCTGTCAGGTTAAATGTCTGTTGTTTTGGTTTCTGGTCTATGACTTGATTTTCTCTTTGGTGTGTTTTTAAGGCCCTAGCACAGCTGCAGCTCATCGACTACATCGGGGAGCAGACAGCAGTGTTGATAAAAGTGAGTATTTGCTCCAGAAGTATTTGATACAGTCTTTGGGGGGATTTCACTAGGAATTTATATTTGCATGGGCTGTGTTGCTTTGCTGCTCGACTCACTAAAGGTGTTATGCAATCAACACAAAATTTATCCCAAAAAGTGGTGTTAAATCTTGGAGCTGCAGCTCATCGACTACATCGGGGAGCAGACAGCAGTGTTGATAAAAGTGAGTATTTGCTCCAGAAGTATTTGATACAGTCTTTGGGGGGATTTCACTAGGAATTTATATTTGCATGGGCTGTGTTGCTTTGCTGCTCGACTCACTAAAGGTGTTATGCAATCAGCACAAAATCTATCCCAAAAAGTGGTGTTAAATCTTGGGTGATATGATCACAAGTGGGAAGGCGACACATGCTGTTTACACCTTGATGTAACATTTTTCAGATGTGTCTCCTGTGACCACTTGTGATCGGATTTTGAGGGGAAGATCTGTTTCTGCCTCAGAGTAAAAGCAGATTATAAAAATAAAAATAAGAAGATAGTCATTGTAAGTCACATTGTAACATATGACATTTAAACTGCAAAATATAAAGTTGCAATTATAGGAAACAAAGCTGCATTTGCAAAATATTAGGTCATTGTGAGATATAAAGTTAATTTCTGAGAGATAAAATCAAATTTTTAGATACAAAGTTGCAGTTCCCTTTGTATTTAGATTTAGATTCACTGTTGTCCGAGTTCTATGCTGCAGCTTAGTCTACTATGACGTGCCAACAATTGGCTTCTGAAAAATCCCATTCATTTTAGGATTGATTTTTAACTTACTTACAGTGTGAGCTACAGTACAAGGTTGTTAATTGATAGTACATGTCCATCTGCCTGCATTATTTCAACATATTTTTTAAATAATAATTTTAACAGCAGATGAGAAACTAAATTACCCAATGATTCAGCAATGAAACCTCCACCAATCAGAGAATCACAATAAGCAAATTGTGAAAAAGGAATTCTTTACTGATTTCCTGATTTGACTGCCCACTTCCCATGAAGCATCGCAAATGAAGTACACTGTTAAAAATAAAGGGGGTTTGGATGCAATAGAAGAACCACTTTGTGAACAGTTCTTAAAACAACCCTTTTTTTTGTTAAGAATATTTTAATAATCAGAAGAACCTTTTTTCACTATAAAGAACCCTTGGTGCAACGGAAAGGTTCCATGGGAACATCAATGCCAAGAAAGAACCTTTATTTTTAGTACTGTATTTGTCTATATATGCATATTTTGAAATGAGCATAAAATATGTAGTTTTGTTTATGTCTTTCACAGTTCTTCATGGATCTGTGGGTAAAACTGTTAAGTACACTTGTCAATTTTCAAATACATTTTTGCTTCAAATTAAAGTTTGTAATGTGATTAACCTCGTTGCTGGTTGATTTGGTTCATGGTTTATAACTCTTGAACAAAGACTTAAAAAATCTCTATGGAAAAAACCAAGGCTCCTGAAAAAGTGGACGGGCTCTGTTTTACTCCTTATCTTTTTTTTACACATGGACCATAATTCTAAGAGCATGCATTTCCACACTTAAAAAAACTATGTAAACCAGCCAAATGAACCTCATTAAATAGTGTGACTGGCTGAAATTATTATTATCTTTGATCCAATAGTAGGTCTATGTGGGCAATAAATACAGAGATTTCCACAGACCTGGAAGTGTCCAGCTCTGCCTGGCTGGCGATCACACTCTGATAGACCCGTCAGCTTGTGTTTGGTGTGCAAGCCTTTTACAATCACAGTAATTATTCATGACAGGTGCTGCTGTGGAGCTCTGATGCATTCAATTCAATCAGCAGCACCAGGACCCCCAAAATCTGACCATGTAGATGAACAACCAAAGAGAGAAATAGTGGGGAAACGACTGAAATAAAACAATTTTCTAATAAACAGCATTCCTACATGCTAATAAAAAGGCTACGGTGCGTTTTCACATACGTTATAGCTGGATTGAAAACAAGCGTATGGTGAGAGTGTGTGTTTACATCTGTTTGTGTACATGTGTTGTGTTTCGGTTTATGAAAGCAACAGAGCGTGAAATAATGAATCCAATGTGACTGTATCATGAACACATTGTCTGCAAAGCCCTCCCACCTTTGTGTTGGCATCTGAGACTGACAGAGAGAGAGGGTTTGTGTGTGTGTGTTTGGTTGTGACATTTTATTGTTATCTTCTCTCCCAGGCAGTGCCAGAGGACGAGCGGTTGGCCATCGCCATCATTTTGGTCATGTGGGTCTCAGCACTGGCCTCCTCTCTTATAGACAACATTCCCTTCACTGCCACTATGGTAAGGAACTCACTTACTCCTTCAAGCATTTGCACACAAACACAAATCTATGGTAAAAAAAGAGAATCACACTCTAGTTTGTCTGACATCTTTCGTACACAGACATTTTATTAGTACTTGGCCTTACAAATAACAGTAAATAACAGTTTTTATTTTAATATACTTTAAAATATAATTTATTCCTGTAAAGCAAAGCTGAATTTTCATCAGCCATTACTCCAGTCTTCAGTGTCACGTGATCCTTCAGAAATCATTCTGATATGCTTATATATTATCATTGTTGGACACAGTTGTGCTGCTTAATATTTTTTAAAACCTGTGATACTTTTTTTCAGGATTCTTTTATGAATAAAAAATGTAAAAGAACCACATTTATTTGTAATTTGTGTTACAATATACACTACTGTTCAAAAGTATGTAATATGTAATATATATGACATATTATATTTTTCCTGTAATTTGCTGATTTGGTGCTCAAGAAAGATGTCTTTTTATCGATTTAAAAAATCGTGCTGCTTAATATTTATGTGGGTAACATGATGCATTTTTTTCAGGATTTTAATTGTTTTTGTGATGCAATTAAAAATTATGTTCAATTAAATTATTAATTTAAATTGAATTATTTTTGTAAAAATAAATATAGTGTACAGTAAATATAGTATCAAGTATATATTATTAGATGCTGAAACTGCTTAATTTTCACTTGATTTCTTTAAGACAAAATCTTTTATAAAATAGTTCTGCGAATATGAAGTTATGTAAGGTGTAATATCAGTCACCTGATTTTTATCACAAAATAAGACAAGTGAGCTGGCCTCTGATGTGAACCAGGAGGGTCTTGGATGAACCTGAAGCGATTTATGTAATGATAATGACTGAAGTCCATTACTTAACTTGAAGGACTGTCATATCTTGCCTAGAGACCCTGAACCACTGCCAGATTTTGGAGTTCTTTCAATTTAACCCCTGTGAACAAAGTAAAACGTGAAATGTCCCAGTACTCTTTTAACTTTATTTATGCAAAGTAGAACACTGGAGCTGTTTTATGATTATAACTTAATTAGAAATATGCTTTTTAAAATACTTTTAGTATGGCATGTCACACTGCAGGACACTGCCATCACTGCTTGCCATGTCGTGTCAACTGCCCACGTTCTGTTGACAAATAGGTGAAAATAGTGCATCTTATCCTCTATAGTCAGCTGAAACGTGTGGAAAACAGTAGTGAGTGATGATGTGCTATCAGAGCAGCGCATGAATCATGTGCATCATGAAGGGACACGTGCTGTGAGCTGATATGATGAACATGGCACCAAACAGACAGAGCTGTGCTGCCGATCGCGCACTGCCAAATGAGCAGAAGGGAAGAATGCAGGGCAGATGAAGAGACAAGTCACTTAGCATTTCAAAAGCCTTTTCATGTCCTTCTTCTCCAGCGTTTTCCACACGTTTCATTTGATCTGTCTATTTTGACCTCTTTTCTTACTTACTTTCGCTTACTTTCTCGGCTTGGGTGTAGTAGGGATGAACAGAACTACATTAGTTGTTAGTTTAGGCAACTAGTTAGGCAAAGTTGTTATGTGAACAACTAGCTGAATACTAGTCTAGTATAATTAGCCTGTCAAACTGACCCCGATTATATATAGTATATTTCTTAGGACGCGTGTACATCAAGTCGATTGTTGGATGACTAGTTAGCCACTGGGACCTGCAACTCTATCCTATTTAGTGTTATTCTTGCTTGTTCTCTGTCTCTTTCACTCGCTCTGTCAAAAAATGAGAGATAAACAGAGTGAAATGTACTTGAGCTCAGCATACACCTGTGGTGGTAATGGATCACATTGATTTTGCAGGCCCCATCACTGTATAAATACAGAAAAGACTTCTCAGCAGTGCCCTCTCACAATCTGAAGCTGGAGTAAAAAGACCATGCAGTTAAACACACATTTCATTTCTGTAGAGCACAGAATGTGCCTGTTTTTGACTCTACTAACAACTAAAATCAGCATGTGTTCAGTTATTTTTAACCGCACTCTTGAAAAGTGGTCTGAATGCTGGCATGCTGGTGTCCTCATCAAACCTCATAACTAACTTAACCCTCAAGCCTCATTTGGTCAACAAGCTTTGGAAAATAATGTGTTTTTTGAACCTTAAAACGCATAAACACATTGCATTACACCAAATACACAAAATAATGTTCTTTTTAGCAACATCATATGACCCCTTTAACTAGCCAAAATATTACGCCATGGAAATTCATAATGGTCTAAGCAGCAAGTTTCTGTGGTTAGACATTTGAATTGCTTTAAGTATTGACTCCATATCACACCATGCATAAAGCAATTTTAAATTGTGCTCACCATGTTTAGGATCACGTATCAGACTCAGAGGGTTCAGTTTGAGTACCTTTTCAAACATGACACAGTCACTGACATCCACATGGATCATTAAACATCTGATCTGAAGATCAATACAGAAGCTGTTTACTTCTGTCCCTGGTCTCATCTGTAAGGTATTATATATGACATATACATGGCTGCAGACATGTCCCTGCTCTCCCTCACCATGTTTGTAGATCTCCTTTGTGTCCCTGGCCATTTGATGGGTGACTTGCCAAGGATTGTTCTGTAATTGCAATAAGTAAACTTGAACAAAGTGCTTGTGGGATTTAATGAAGGTGATCATTTAACATGAACATTATTGACCATTCTTAACCTGTATTATCTAAGGTTCTGTCTTTGTGGTAAACCTTTAAGCCACAATTGATATTATATTTTCAGGAACACTAAGTGGTTATCCTGAAATAGATCTACAAGAATATCCCAAAAGAACCACCTGGTGAGAACCAGGATCTGAAATTGACTGACAGCGATGAAATTTAAATTGAAATAACTTCCATTTGTTTTCTGTTAAAATATTTTAGAATGTAATTTATTCTTGTAATGGCAAAGCTGATATCAAATGAAAAATTGTGTGTTTGATTGGTCCAGACGCTACACTGAATTTTCAGCAGCCATTACCCCAGGATTCAGTGTCACGTGATCCTTCAAAAAATAATTTTAATATGTTGATTTGTTAATCCGCTTTAATTATCATAGTCATTTTATTTGTAATAAATATACTAATATTTAAGATTGCAGAGTTATAATTACAGAGACCATGTGTGATAGCTGTAAAAATGTTTCCATGCCACCTGTGTCAAGTTAGGATCTACCACGCAGATTAAAAATGTGCTATTTGCGCTCCACTGCAAACATAAAACTGCTATTTTCTTGTCAGCACAAGTGAACGGTTGCTTTGGCTCCTGGTGCCCTCCCATCCACGCTGGCGATGCCACAGCTGAATGAACCGGATGGCAACTGTAGTAGAAAATGTAATCACAGTTGTGCTGTGTAATTTATTCAAGTCGATTGCAGCTGAAGCCGATGTTAGCTGGGAGGCCAGCGTGTAGCGGACAAGTGGCTACACACAGAAATCTTTGAGGCAGAAGACATTTTCTGCAAATATGCAATCTTTAAATTACACTACACTGGTGGGAAGATCGAATGCTTATGTGCCTTGAGAAACGGATGCATGCATATTTGTCGTTGTCGCCACAGGGATGCATTCTCTGCTTCTCACCATTATATGCTCATGCTAAGTACTGATGGCTATAGCCATTGTGGAGTGTTTTTGTCTCATTTCTATCCATGTAGATTTCATGCCTGGGCCAAAGTGGTGATGCTTGGATCATACATGCTGTTTCATGAGATTTTCATTTGCTGTTTATTCAAGCTTTGTGTCTGTGCTAAAAAGAGAGAAATATGGATAAAGAAATCTAATGTCATCAGCTATTGATTTTCTTGTTCTTGACTTGTGGAGCAGAAGAATATCTGCTAATAGGTTGGACGGCTGTCAGAATTATTGAATATAACACTCTTAGTGACCCTGACATCCACAATGTTCTTGACAGATGGTTGTTTGAAATATGCTTTTCTTTATTAAATACATTGGCTATGAGAATTATGATTAGGGCATCTATCTATCCATCCATCCATCCATCCATCCTATATACAACACTATATATAATATATTGGTAACACTTTAATAAGCCTTTGTGTATAATGCATTATAAAAGTGGTTTTAATGTATTAATTATGCCTTGTAATGCACCTTATAATGCATTGAACAATCTCATGAATAATTGTAACCACAATTAATACATTATAACTCTTAACAATTCATTGTTACACTATGCATTTTAAAATCGGTTATAATTTACGACAACATATACTGTAATGTATTACAACGCACATTATGAATAATTATAATGCATTATAGCCTTTAATAACCCTTTATGATGCAAATATAAACAAGGCTTTAAGTAAAGTGTTACCAGTATATTTATCTGATGTGTTTTTATTTCTTTCACAGATTCCTGTGCTTATAAACCTCAGTCAAGATGCTGATGTCAGCCTACCAGTCAAGCCTCTCATTTTTTCATTGGCTATGGGAGCTTGCCTTGGAGGTCAGTTGCATTATTTTCTCTCTTATATATCATATAAGTGTTTTTTTTTTAAACAAACATTCCATTACAGCAACCTTTGTTCAAGTGGATTGACAAACTGCAATTAATACTATGCTTTTAAAAGATAATTAGTTGTGTTTCCTTTGAATTGCAAAACACCTCCTATAGAAGCGAGAAGTAATTACTTTGCCTAAATGTACAGTGCTGTGAAAAGGTTTTTGCCCCCTTCCTGTTTTTAATTTTTTTTGCATATTTGTCACACTTAAAAGATTCAGATCATCAAACTAATTTTAATATTACACAAAGATAATGCAAGTAAAAACAAAGTGCAGTTTTTAAATGATGATTTCATTTATTAAGGGAAAAAGCTGTCCAAACCTACCTGGCCCTACGTGAAAAAGTAATTGCTCCCTCCTGTTAAACCATGAAAGAACTGTGATTACCCACATTATTTTAGAAAGCCAATCTGGCGTAAAACCAACACAGAATTTCATAAAAAGAACATCATACCAGCAGTCAAACATAGTGGTGGTAGTGTGATGGTCTGGTGCTGCTTTGCACCTTCAGGACCTGGACGACTTGCCATAATTGATGGAACCATGAATTCTGCTCTCTATCAGAAAATCCTGAAGGAGAATGTCCGGCCGTCAGTTTGTGACCTCAAGCTGAAGCGCACTTGGGTTATGCAGCAGGACAACGATCCCAAACACACCAGCAAGTCCACCTTTGAATGGCTCAAGAAAAACAAAATTAAGGTTTTAGAGTGGCCAAGTCAAAGTCCAGACTTAAATCCGATTGAGATGCTGTGGCATGACATTAAACAGTCCATTCATGCTCGAAAACCCTACAATGTGGCTGAATTAAAACAATTCTGCAAAGAAGAGTGGGCCAAAATTCCTCCACAGCGATGTGAAAGACTCATTGCCA